GGTGGTGGGGCGGTGGGGCGGTTGGGGCGGTTGGGGCGGTTGGGGCGGTTGGGGCGGTTGGGGCGGTTGGGGCCGGAGGCTCAGCGCCTGCCTACTCGCCGGGGTGCTGTATGCTGTTGTAGATCGCTCTAGAGTGACTCCGCTTCGCCTTGATGCATCTACGCGCCCCTCGGTGTCGGCCCCACTTTTCCAGCGCACGCCGGCCCCGGGGCAGCCCGTTGGCACCAGCAACCCGCCTCACCTGCCGCGCCCGCGCCGCCGCCCTGCTGCATTGAACGCCGCCGCAGGGACCGCATGAGCTCGGCCAAGCAGCTGCCGTGCAGCCACACGTTCCACGCGTCCTGCCTACGTGCGTGGCTGCAGCAGAGCGGCTCCGACAATTTCACTTGGTGCGTCACCGGGTTACACAGGCCATTACGTGATCACCATCACCCACACACCCCAATCCCACATAACCCCAGTGACCACACACCCAATCCACACATGATCGCCACCAATTGCACCCCATCAACACACCACCGCAAGCACGTTCGCCGGGGTTGCGTGCTCGCATGCTGATGATGTCAAGAAGACGGCGCGCGTTGGGCCTGCATGCCTGGCGGCACGGCAAACGGGGCCCCTGCTGCCATGCCCTATCCCTGGCAAACGGCCACAACCGTCCACAGTAGACCGCGACCCTGACCTCCCCACACATGGCGCCCCCGCCTCCCCCGCATGCACTCACGCACGCACTGCGTTTCCAGCCCAATTTGTCGCATGCCCCTTTTCCTCGAAACTGGGGAGGAGAAGGCGTCCGCGGGCGGCCTGGCTGCCTGGCTGGGTTTGAGGGGCACCGGCGGCGGTGGCGACGACGGCGACGCGAGCGGCGGCGACGACCCCTCAGCGCACGCAGCCGAAGAAGAGGCGCCGGCGCCGCTGCCTGCGCCGGCGGCGATGGCTGCGCAACAGCAGCAGCAGCAGCAGCAGCAGCAGCAGCAGCAGACGGCCGCCGATGGCCCGGCGCGGCTGGCGCCTGAGGAGGCAGCGGCGGCCGCACCCGTGGCAGCAGCCGCGGTAGCAGCAGAGGCCAGGTGGATGGCCGCGATCGGAGACGCCATTAACGACGCGGCCGCCCGTGTCGCCCTTGGCCGCGCCGCTGCGTCCCGCCGGCCGCGCGGCGCGCGGCGGCGCGTGTGGGACTCTGACCTGTCGGATGCGTTTGACCCGGCGGGGCCGGCGGCGCCCGTGCACGCACGCGATGGGGCCGCGAGCGGCGGCGGCGACGGGGGCGGCGGCGGCGGCGGCGGCGGCGCGAGCGGAGGGGTGGGCTTGGCTGACGCCGCGCCGCGGGGCTGGGTGGGGGCGCGCCTGGAGGGATTGCCGGGGCTTTTGTCCCAGATTAATGACGCGGGAGGGGGGCGGTCGGGCGCGCAGGAGGGTGCTTTGCAGGAGCCTGCGGCAGCAGAGCCTGGCGGCGGCTGGGGGGCGCCTGGCGGCGCCGCCCATTCGCATGACAGCGGCGTGCGCCCCAGGCGCCCGAATCGCGGCGGCAGCGGCGGCGGCAGCAGCGGCAGCGGCCCCGCTTTGCCTGATTTAGCGCCGGGCGCTCCCCCCACCTCGCCGGGGGAAGCCGCGTCGTCGGCGCCGCTGGCCCCGGCTGGCGCGCTAGCGGCGGCCTTGGCGGCTGGTAAGGGCCATAAAGCGGATGGGAGCCCCTCACTTGGTGTGGATGGCGCCTGGCCGCAGCCCAGAGACCAAGGCTGCGAGGCCGATGCCGCCGCAGCTGAGGCCGAGGGCAGCGAAGGGCCAGCGGACGCGCCGCGGCGGCGTGCATCCGGCGACGTTCCACGTGGCAGCGGGCGCGGCCGTTGGGTGCTAGTTCGCGCGCTTGCACCGCAGCGGGACGAGGGCCAGCAGCAGCAGCAGCAGCAGCAGCAGCAGCAGCAGCAGCAGCAGCAGCAGCAGCAGCAGCAGCAGCAGCAGCAGCCGGCTTCCCACGGCACAGGCGGCGCGTCCGCGGCGGCTGGCGGCGGCGGCGGCGGCAGCGGGCGTTGGGGCGCGGTGGGCGGTCCCAGGCAGCAAATACGCGCGGTCCCGCGGGTGTCGCACCACGGGGAAGAATTTCTTATTGGCAGCCCTGACAGCGGCTGACTTATTGGCAACAGACCCGGCTGCCAGCACGGCAGGGTGGCAAACACGTCCGAGCTCGCCGCGTGAAAGAGTTGCCATTTCGCCCATCGATCGCCCCAGAAGCTGGCGGGGGCGCCGCGGGGGCGCGAGCCGGCCGGGGCGCCCCCGCTGCTGCTGCGCGCATCACATTTTTGATGAGTCAGCGTGTTCTTGCAAGCGATTATCGCGGGCCCTCGGGCGGCCCTTATTTCAGACGGCCTGCCAGTGGGCGAACGGGTTGCGTGCTGATGACATCACCGTGCGTCAGTGGGACGACAGGAAGCGAAGTGTAGGCTAGAACCTGCTTGAAGATTGCGGCGCTGGCCGCGAAAGCCTCAAGAGCACAAAGCTGCTCTTGCCCGGTGATTTGCACCAGTGTAAATTGAAGCTGCGCCCGGGCTCCTGCTCCACTGCTGCGTGTCGGGCCGGGCTCGTCTGTGCGCCGCAAGTGCCTGATGCGCACTGCTCGCCGGCAGCATCAGCCGGGCCCGGAGTGCGACGAGTCTCCCATGTCCAGAGGGCGGATGCTGACGGGGACGGCTGGAGGGACACAGGCTGCGGCTGCGCTTGGGCTGATGGGGCGCGTACTAAAGGGCGACCCATGCAGTGGCGGTCGCCGCCGCATGTGCGGCTGCCGGGCCGGCGGCCCCCTGGAATTGTGTTGTGTGGCCCCCTGGCAGCACCCGGCGTGCGAGAAGCAAAGGCACCCGAGAAGGCAAGGGGACGGGACGAGCCCCGGGAGCAAGCAGAGCGACGCGCGGCCCGCTACAGTACTGACCACCGCACATTCAACGGTGCGTTCGCGCCGCCCACGCGCCGCTGCGTCGGTGGGGGTCAACCTTCACTGAAGATTGGACCAGCACGAATCATGCAGGGTGAGTGATATTACGAGGGCAGGGGCTCGAGCGACGCGACGCAGCAGACCGGGCGGCACTGCGCACAGACAGCAGGCAGGAGTGTGATTGTAACGGCAGGCGCTTAGGGCGGAGGGGCGCGTGTGGTTGGGCTGGCGGCTGGCTTTCTTGCCAGGTGCCAGTGTCAATGGCGGACACTCTGCAGCGCTGTTTGGCCAATCCTGGAGATGGTGACGCGGCTGCCGGACTGGGCACCGAGCTGAGATTGAAGCGGGTTTTTTCTTTGGAGATGAGCGATGTTCTTGAAATGTAACGAGTCATGTGAGGGTGTAATGAGTCACCTGGGTGTTGCTGGTTTCATGCATGTGGGGGCCCAGTCCATTGAATCAGGGGAGCCTGGCCGCATCATCCAGGTGTCGAGCGTTGAGGGATAACTCCAATGCTCACGCTGCTGCCAACCCAAAGACTTCAAAAGGCTGGACAGCTGGACCGGGAAAGGAGATGGGTGCGGCGCAGCTGCGCACTGTGAAGCGTTGGTCACCCCGGCTGTTTCTCAGTGCGGCGTTCCTGTGTACCCCATCACGCCACCCCCCAAATAATGCACGCAAATCCGTTCGGCTGTCGACAAAGGGGTGTCGAACGCGAGGGTCTCATCACACGGGTGCATTCATCATATCAGCGTGGCGAGGGGCCAGGGATGTGGTACTGTCGGCTTATTTGCAGATCATAAATCCATCCGATGCACGGTGAGCAGTCTTGGCAGCGTACACACCTGATTGCTGCCGCCCGGGGCGCGCCATATTTTCAGGTCTTACGGAAAGCTTGTATTTTCAGTGTATCGATTACACGCCAGCAGGCCTGTTGCAACAGGTAGAGACCGGCCAACCGGACGCAAAGGCAATACCGTACCCAAAGATGTGTGCCTGCTCTTATGGCGCCTCAGGGGCGGGATAGCTCCAATGCAAGACTGTGAACCGTGCATAACCGAGGCTGTGGAGCAGGACAGCAGCGGGCCCGGCTGTGGCGGCGGGGTGAGCAGCAGCGCGCTCCTCGTCGCGCAGGTGTCATGGCCTCCTCCAAATATGTGCTTGCTTCGACTTTAGTTGCATGGTGTCGCTGTCCACACAAGCGCACATGCTGAGGCTGAGGAGGGCCGCATGCGCGCGATTCGCACGGTTGGTCTGCGCGGCAGTCGGCGAGGCCGACACCTGTCGGTCAAACCGTGCCCGGTGGCGCCCTGCACGCGCAGGTGATCGGCCCCGCCCGACAAGTGACGTTCTGCGACAACCCCGACAGCACCACGGTCCACGTCGCGGCGTGGCAGCATGGGACGCGCGAGCACAGCGTCGCTGACCTGGCGCCCATCTTTGACGGCCTCGGTGAGCGCTCGCCGCGCGCCGGTGCGCCGCCGCCGCCGCATGCATGTGGCGGCCCGCGAACAGCCGCCCCCGCCCGCCGCGCGACTCTTTATCGCCCGCAGGCGTGGAGGTGCTCTCCTGCAGCAGCGGGGCCCCGCCCGCGGCGGTTGGGGACTCTGACATGGCGATCGTGGTCGCAGACTCGCGCAGCGGCAGCAAGCCGCTCGACGAGCGCCTGAAAGCCTCCCTCGCTAGCGGCCTGCAGCGCGCGCTGTCCGAGGGCCCCGACGCGGCCGCCGCCGGCGGGCAGCCGCGGCTGCGGGGCGGGGTTGCCGGCGGCGGCGGCGGCCTGAAGGCGGCCGCTGGCGGGGGCGGGCAGCGGCAGCGCAGCCCGGGGCGCGGGGGCGGCGACTGTGGGGTGGCGGGCGTGTGCCGCCTGGGGTCGGCGCTGGACCAGGAGACGCCGGGTGGCGCAGCGGCGGCGGCGCGCCGCTGGAGCGACCTGCACCCGTGCGACTCGGCCTCTGATAGGGAGGTGGCTGAGGTGGCGGAGCGGCAGCAGGCGGCGGTGCTCGCATGGCAGCAGCAGCAGCAGCAGCAGCAGCAGCAGCAGCAGCAACAGCAGAGTCCACACGAGCGGCAGAGTTGCGAATCGGAGCGAGAGCGTGTCCGCGAGCAAGCCCACAGCAGGCGGCAGCGGGAGCAGCAGCAGGAGTGCGAGCGCAGCAGAAGAGGGGGCGCAGCAGACGGGCCGCGGGGGCGCGGCAGCCCGACCCCATCGCAGCAGCGGAGCCCGGCGCCTCAGCAGTCTCCGCGCTCCCCGCGGCCGCGCTGCGGCGGCTTTGCATCGCTGGAGCGCGCGGGCAGCAGCGGCGGCGGCGGCGGCCGCGGTGGCTTGCTGGCGGGCCTGCGGCTGGTGGTCCCTGAGATCTCGAGATCGAGCTCCGCGGGGCTGCCCTGCGCCTCTTCGCATTCCAGCACAGCCCCCGAGCATCTGCTGCTCTGCAGCCCGCCCGGGCCCGGCGGCGGCGCCGCGGCGGCGCCCCGCGG